GGGTACCCTGGAGCCGCAGACACCATCACCTGCTCCCTAGTCTAGGTCATTGCTCCCCGAGCTCTCTCCTCAGACCCACCCATACGCACACTGGGGGCCCCACAAGATTAGGTACCTAGGGAACTGGCCTCTGTCCCAGGCAGCCAGCCTAGAGCCATGTTGGTTTGTGCAGCACATGAAGGTGCACTACACTCCTATAGGATACAGCCTCTTTGACTCCAGATGCCAACAGCGCCCAGACATTTTCTTCAGTACCTAGCTAGTTCCAGGGTTCCACACCCTCCTGAAAATAGCCTCTTCTGGAACCCCCAAGGGCAGATTCTGGCAAGGCCTACCAGTGAAGGACCTGTATTCCTTTTTTACCATGTTGCCAACACTATGCCCTCTCCATAGAAGTCTCTGGATCTCAGCCCTGGTGAGAGGGAGGAGGGGCTCTTTCTTGGTGCTTATCTCAGCCCTTGGGGAAGTGGTTGCCCCTTAGACTATATCTCCAACTCCTGCATTCTTCGGAATTCTCTTTAACTCTCACTAGCCAATTCCTCGTTACTCCAATCCTCTCTTAATACTAGATTATAACTTCCTCTGTTCAAATGACTATTAATATGTGGTTTCTATCTCCTTACTAATCCAAAAGCCATCAACTATGTTTATGAGGCAAATAGATGGAAAAATGTTTTAAAATGCAGTGCCTCTGCCTGGGGGAAACTCTCAGTTCAGATCACTCCTTAAAATCCCTCTGCTTTCTAGTATGCTATATTTAATCAATATGTATCTTTTATATGTAATGTGAAATTCATTCACAGGTGCAGATGTGGCAGGAGAGATGTGGCAAGAGAGAGCATGTGAGCAGCTGAGTTTGTGACTCCCCTGACAGGTTATTTGTTTGCTTGAAACTCTCAAGGTAGAGCCAGCTGGCCGGCAAGTCAAGTTTCTATCAGTGACCTTTCACACTCAAAGATAATGTTAATGGAGATGTGTATCTGACCTGTGATAGCTGAGAGGTTGGATGTAATATCCTTTTTTTCTCAGTGTTGGAACCCAGTTGCTGGTGGTCAACTCTGCCACTCTACCTTTTGTCTCATAACCTGCAGATACCTTTGTTTAGAAAGCCATCATATTTTATAACAGTTGCATGTAATTTGTTATCCACTGGTGGCGTTTTCCAACCACCCAGAGCAACTCTTTGCCTTTAGTTGAGATCCTCAAGGTGTGTTTGGTGCTGCCCCGTCTCTATGCACTTTGCTTGACATCAGTGTTTGTTGTTGTACATCCACAAGTCACTTCCTGCTCAGAAGAATTGCTGGCAAGGATGTGAACATGGACCTAAACATAATCAAAACTACCAAACCACAAGTGGCAAATCACCATGAAATTTGATTCTGCCAATAAATGCAAGCAGAAATTACTTCCTGCCGCTCCCCCATTCCCTGACACTTTCACTAGCAGATGAGGGGCACTTAAAACTTCTGCCAGACCAAGCACATAAGTGTTTTTTTATCAGGACAAGGGTTTGTTTTTATTTAATTTACTTTTGTTTTTTTTTAAAATTCAATTAGGAAATCCAGATGATAATATGTGGCAAAGATCCCATAAGTATTAATTCACAATAGCGTACTTTTCTTAATCTACAATCTGTATTAGGATTTTAGGATGCCATTTTGTGTTTTCTTGCTTAGTGCAGTTACCCTTAAGTCTTTATAGCATGCTCTAACTCAGTAGCAAGCAAGTTTTATATACCAATTAGGCTTTGTGCCGATTAAATTCATCTGGAACCAGACCTTAAATCCCTGGAGTTGTACTAGTTTATTGTCACAAACACAGACGAGAAATGGAAAGAACCACTGTCCTCCTGTTTTATTAAATGCTACTTTTGTGTGCAGTTACAAAGTTCTGCTTGTCACTGCTTTAGAAAATTGCTTCAGCTGGAATTTTAGTAACAACTAACATTCCTGCAACTTGTGCTATTTAGCCTGGAGAGACAAGTGTGATGATAAAGATGGATCTTATCTTGACATTTTCCCTCTTCAATCTACATTTAAACAAGATCCCCAGGTGATTTGCAGTCACTTTAAGGTTTGAGAAACTATAGTCTAGATAACTGGAAGCACAGCTTTTTTATTAGGTTATTGAGTATGCAATGTCTGATTTCCTGAAGTATTAACTTTGACAGTTGATATCCCTGACATTTCACTTTGACGCTTCTTGTTTTATTTTTATTGTGATGGTACATCCTCATTCAGACGCATGGCTTGGCTTACGATTATCTTTCAAATTTTTTTAGTGCACTTTTTGTGAAACCATGGGTAAGTAAAAAATTCGTGTTATTTTCAAATGAGTGGAACCATTTTCTGTCGTGGAACCAATGCAGAGCAGACAGCTTGAAATATCAGCAAAGTGTTTGGGAAGGATGTGGCTAATGAATGCATTGAGAAGTTCCATTTCCATAAAATCCAGAAGTTCTAGTGATTTTAATCTTGAAAGTGAGCCACTGGGCAACCAGAGACCAAGGTGGATAATGCTGAGTTGAGTTCTGTAGTGGAAGCCAATCCATCTCAACCTGTGAATTAGCAGCAGGGTTTGATGATACTATTCCTACAATACTGGACCATTTGAAACCAATTGGCAAGGTAAAGAAGCTGGGTAGATGGGTTCCACATGAATTAAACAAGCATCAGAAGAGAAATAATTTGGAAGCTTGCCTTTCTTTGTTGTCAGGACATAAAGGTGAACCACTTCTACACTGTGTTGTTACATGTGATGAAAAATGGATTCTTTTTGACAATTGAAAGCATTTGGCACAATGTTTGGATAAAGATGAAGTGCTGAAACACAGTCCAAAACTAATGACGTCTGTTTGGTGGTCCAAAGCTGGTATTATCCACTACAACTTCATGTAACCTGGTCAGTCGATTATAGTGAATGTCTACTGCAACCAATTGGATGTAAGGATGAGGATGCTTGTAATTAGCAGCTGAGATTTGTCAACAGAGACAGGCCAATCCTCTTGTAAGACAACTCTTGACCACATGTTGCACAAATAATGCTGCTTAAACTACAGAGGCCGAGTTGGAAACTCTCTGTCATCCACCATATTCACCAGACCTTGCACCAACTTACTGCCACTTCTTCCAGCCTTTGGACCACTTCTTGCAAGGAAAAATATTCAATTCTCAACAAGCTTTGGAAAATACCTTTAGTGATTCATCGCCACTCACTCTCCAGGCTTCTTCACTGCTGGCATAAACCATCTACCGTTAAGATAGCAAAACTGTATTGATAGTTTAGGTGCATACTTTGATTAATTGTACTGCTTCTTGTTTGAGATATAAACTAAATTTTTCATTCAAAATCGGACATTTCACATTTAATAACCTAAATAGATTAAATTTGTAAGATCTTCAGGTCTTTCTGTTCAGATGGAAGCATATCTTATCCCTGAGAATAATCCATTGATTTTAACTCAGTATCCAGCCTGTTAAAATTGTGTATATTGTTTTACCTTTTTATTTTGTGTATAGTTTTATTTATTAATAATGCCTTTTTATAATATTACATATGTACTAGGATACAGATTAGTATTTTTAAAAACTAGGTCTCTGAATTTCTTTCACTTTTTGAAATTTATAAGAATTTAGGATATAGAACTCTGAATTTTTTTTTCTAGTTTTTAAAAATCATTTTATGGTTTTTACTTGTCTTCCTTTGTGAATCTGATCTTTGATGATTAGCAAATAATCAATTTGGATTGGTGTATTTAAAGGTTTTAGAAAGAGTACAAGAACAAACCCTTTGGTAATCATTTCTAATATGCAAATATGACATGTTATATCAGGTTTGCTGTTGTATTGATTTTTTTTTATCAATTCTCAAACTTCTAAGGGCAATTGAAAGTTGACTGCAGGAAAGATTTGTTTCATTAGCTATTTTCAAATAGGTCTTCAAATTTGGCAGGCAGTATTGACAAAGAACATGGCATTATTCTCACAAAAAGGAATTAAGAATCTGGTTTTATTTTGCTCATTCATTATGGTGTTTGTCTTTTAGATTATGTGTTTATTGATCAAGTCTCAGTTTTCTTATTTTTATGATTGGAATCAAATATTTATAAAATAATTTTACAGAATCATAATTTGCAATAAAAGCTCATTGCCTTATTTGTATCAGGTTTAGTCCCTGAACTATTGCAGAAAACTTTGGGTCATTCTAGCTTTGGATTTATCTTATTTCTCCATGTCTAAATAACTTTTGCTCAAATTTGTATCAAGAATCTATTTTGAAAAACTTGTCTTTGGAATATTAGGAATTAATAATGTGGTTGCCTTTGAAAAAATACTGCCTTTTCCTTATCAGGTGCTAGATTTGATTTTCCAAAAGTCATTGTGATCTAGACTAGTGATTCTTAATCCTTGCTGCTTGTTAGAAGGATCTGGAGAGTTTAAAACAACAACAAAAGCAGTGTGTAGGCTCTGCCCCTAGACAAATTAGACTCGCTAGTGGTGGAGTCTAAGGCACTTTTTTAAAAAGAGCTTTCAACTAAGGTATATCCAGAGTCGAGGACAGCTAATGAAGATGCTTAATGTTGAGTGCCATTTGTCATTAATGAAACCTAATATTTCATATTAACAGCAAATGACAGAAAAGTCATAATGAAAATCCCTGGGGGATCTGTGTAGGAATCTTCAGGTGATCAGGAATTAATAAGGGAAGACAATCCCTTTAGAAATAGGCTGAAAAGACCAAAGTATCATCTTCTTACTTTTAGACTCTGCCTCTGAAAGGATCTGGACCTCTTAATCATACATTGTCAAGATCTATAATCTTATCCTCAGTCTTTATTTCTATCCCTTGAAAACAGTTTTAAAAAAAAAACTGGTTTGTTTACATTCCCCAAAATGATATGAGGCTAATTGTAGTTTTTATGGTTTTTCTACTCGGTTTTTTTTCTTTTATTGTCTTACATTTAGGATATCGGTTCTTGACCTTTAAACACTTTATTTCAGATTACATCAGTTAAAAGCTCAGAATTTTACATCAAGTTTGAACACAATTAGGGAAATGTTGTTCTTAAACTGACTGGACTTGGCCAAGCCACTTAATCTATTTGACTCTGTGTCAGTAAAATTGTAAAAGCATAATGCTTCACAAAATTGCTGGAAGAACTTATGTATTAAGTGTTAAAGTACCAGGGACCTAATCAACATTGAACAAAAGGTAACTGTTGTTTTTGTTGTTGTTTCTAATGAAATCTTGGTCCTCTTTCTTCCCTTTTAGAGTCATAAATCTATATTGGGTGCCCACTATGTTACCAACAAGTGCCAGACAAACAACCATGAATAAGAGAGACATTATCCATGTCTTTCATGAGCTTACCTTGACTCCCTCATTAGAAGTATCCTAAACTAAGCTCTACTGAGGTATTCCTTAGATAGATCCTCATACACACACAATGAAAGAATTATTGCCTTGTTGATGATGAATTCCTCTAATTTATGATTTATTCCTAAAAAAAGAAGTCCCTCTAGCTGCCTTATTAATTCTATCCTTTCAAATTCCTCACCCTACCCACAAATATGATTTCTGGCATAAAATGTTTGGGGAAAACCGTCACCACTGTAGAAGGATTAAGTTCTATCATCATCTCCTACTCTATGCCTTCTCTACATTCTTTCTTGTTGGATGTTCTGCTAAAGTATCTCAAGGAGACCAGCTCAATCCTTCTCAAATTCCTAATCTAGCCTAACCTCTAGCTATGAAAAATCTAGTACCACTAGATAGCACTGGGAAGAGGACTTTGGCTAGTTTTCTTAGGGATATAAAGGAGGGTGAACATATAGATTGGTTAATATGTATCTTTTGTCAAGCTGAAGTAGAAAAAGGGAATTGGATGAGAACCACTGTCTGAGACTCCAATATTTTGTTCATTCTTACCTTCCTGGAACCTCTTAGATCATGTTGCTGCTCTCTTCGTCTGAAAGTGCTCTGAATCCTAAGCTTTAGGATCTTGGGTATATGAGTACAACTATTCTGTTGGAACTATTCTGTTCATTTCTGATTTTGCACTAAAGCCCATTAGATCACATCTGTTGAAGTTTACTTTTAAAGATCAACTGTCAAAACAACATTTCTCAAGGATGTGATGCAGATTGTAAAATTACCTCCACTTGATGTGGATAATTTATCTGTAATTTTGTCTTGTCTTGTTTTCTTATCCCTCTTCCCCTATAAGATCAGAAAGACTGGTCTTTCTTTCCAATCTCTCCTATTTCTTCCTACCGTTAAAAGTAGGTATCTCTCTCTCTCCTCTTTACATTCTCTCTAGGTGGACTCTTCTATATCCCAAGATTGACTCTCAAATTTTCATCTCTAGCACAGAGATTTTTCCTGATTTCCAGTCCCATATATCTATCTTTTTGCTCATTCAAACTCACTTTGGAAGTTCCACCAGCATCTCAAATTTACTATGTCCAAAATTGAACAATTATCTCCCTTATTTTTACCCTGAATTTGTCCTCCTTCCTTTATCTCCTGACTTTGTTAATATCATCACTTAAGCCATCCATCTCCCACTCTTCCCTTTCTCTCACCAAGTCCTATTGTTTGACTCCATTTCCTGGACTTTCTTGAATCAGCCTCTCCATCCATCTGGCTCATCCATCCATCCTCTCATCTCTTTGGTATCTGTCACATATACTAGGGCTGAAGACACCTGTGATTTTTCTAAAACATAAATTTGATTATGATCCTTTCTTAAAAACATGATCTTTCCATTCCATCCATTTAGGCCAAAATTGATAAATATCAAATTCACTGGAAGATGTGAAGTGATCTTTAATTGACCTCCTAGCCTCATCAATTGTCATTATCTCCCTATGCCTTCTACTTTTGCTGTACTCAAGGACGGACCATGTCTTGTCTTTTATGCCTTTGCATCTGCCATTCATTTTCTCTTTTCCCTCTTGTCTATTTTCCTAAAATTTGCTTATATTTTAAGATTCTGCTTAATAGTCATCTCTGGGAAATTTTCCCTAACATTTCTCCTTACTCTCCATATTGCTTTCCTCATCTCCTATCACAGCACGTATCAGGCTACTTTGTGGCTATCTGTGGACTTATTATATTTCAACTCTGCTTCTTGAAGGTAAGGGCTATCTTAAATTTTGTAGCCACAGCTAGCACAACATTTGACATATGATAAAATTACACCACTATAATTACATGGTTCTGTAAGTCTTTATATTAAATCTTCAAATGAAAGCTTAAGGGGTCATTTTATTCTTTAAATGAAGTTCTTAAAGCAACGAAAGCTCAGAAATATTGGAATATCACTTTATGGGCCATATATGTCATAATTGAAGTATCTTTTGGAGCCAAAGTGTCCATTCCACACTGAAAAGAATATAGAGCACTCCAATTAGAAGTAGTGTATAGAACTAAGTTCTGTCTATTTTGTTTATTCAGCTTACAATTTTCTGCCAAAAGCCAGAGAATTCATCTTTAACTTGGTTTTCTTATTTTAAATTTAGTGAGAACTTTGGAAGAGAAGCTGAATAAAGTGTCAAAGTTAATTTTTACTGCTATAAATGACATTTTCTTTAAAATATGTTGAGGCTTTAGGAAGAACAGGCATTTTTCTTCCCCTTTGCCCTTGTAAATTACTTGACTGGCTGTAATGGCACATGGTGTGTAATCATGTACTGTAACGTCGTCTTTTGCTTTTCCTTTCTTTTGCTCCTATTGGCCCATATTAGGGTTTAGTCAATTTACTGCCCTGTATTTAGGGTCAATTGCAAGCAATATTTCATCAAACCAAATTTTGCTTTTTTAACTCAATGATCTCTGTAGATTCCCAAGAGATACTTCAAGTAAAGCGAATGTATTATTTTTTTTTTTACTATTAGATTTTTGTATTTCTGTGAGCTATTGAAAATAGTGGTTCTATAACAACAAATTAAATGCCCTGATTTTCTTGTGTTTATGGGTTCCTTCAGGAGTCATAAGTACTATCAAGTAAGCAAATCTGGGAGCATGCTAGTTTACTTATTGATGAAGCTGCTTTGTTATCTTAATTGGTTTACCTGGAGTAGTGGTTCATAGTTTGAGGGCAAAAACTGAATAAAATGAAGGCCTCTATTTTAGATGGATGTCTGATAGTACCCATCAGTATACTCTGACTTTCTTACAGATCTCCTTTTTTCAATCCATTTAATGAAGTCCTTTGATTCCTTCGTAATCAAGTTGATACTCTCTTTTTTTAATTTGAAAATTTTATGCATATCACATAGTAAATATTAGAGTTAATAAAGAATGTATTTTTTACTGGAGAGAAATCCCTAATATTTTACAGCCCCAGTAGATTGTAGTTAATTGTAGCAACTGTTTTCTTCCAAAAGCATAATTTTCTTGATATCATTTTGTTGACATAAGAATACATTGTTTATAGCTTACGTTCAGTTGTTGGTTGAATGAGTGAAGTGAACCATGCCTGTAGGATTGAATACCTACTAATACCATCTATCATTTCTGTTTATAGGTATTACCATTTAAAGAAATCTACTTGCCAGCAAATCTATGATAAAAAATATAAGTAACAGAGGAAATCATAACAGTTATTTGTCAAGTGACAAGCTTTTAATGTCAGAATGGCTCACCTAAAGCGACTACTGAAATTACATGTTAAAAGACATTACCATAAAAAGTTCTGGAAGCTTGGTGCAGTAATTTTTTTCTTTATAATATTTTTAATTTTAATGCAAAGAGAAGTAAGTATTCAATATTCCAAAGAGGAATCAAGGATGGAAAGACACATGAAAAACAAAAACAAGATGCTTGATTTAATGCTAGAAGCTGTAAACAATATTAAAGATGCAATGCCAAAAATGCAAATAGGAGCACCTGTCAGGGAAAACATTGATGCTGGTGAGAGGCCCTGTTTGCAAGGATATTATACAGCAGCAGAACTGAAACCCGTTCTTGACCGCCCACCTCAGGATTCTAATGCACCTGGTGCTTCTGGTAAAGGATTCAAGACAACCAATTTAAGTGTTGAAGAACAAAAGGAAAAAGAACGTGGGGAAACAAAACACTGTTTTAATGCTTTCGCAAGTGACAGGATTTCTTTACACCGAGATCTTGGACCAGACACGAGACCTCCTGAGTATGTTGAAGAATATTCATTGTTAACTATTTATCAGGTTTGCAAGGGAGAGACATTAACTAAGGAAGTTGTTTGTCCTTTAGCTACTCTGAGGCAGAAAATCAGCAAATACTGTTTGTTTAATCTATTTTATTTTTTTCTTATCATTACTGAGGTTAGATATCCCTATTTGTGTTTGGTGAGGCAGTACAGATATGAAAAGTTGTTAGCTTGGAAATTAGAAAACTAAATTCTAGATCTGACCTCTATCCACAAAAAAAAAAAAAAATCCTTTATTCCTAAGTGCTCTAGTTTTCTCATCTATAATATAGGAGGAAAAATTGGATGGTTTTTATGGGAAATGCAGGAGGTGGAGTAGTCGCTTTCACTTTTCTGTGTATTGCTATAGAATAGAAATGTTTAAAAATCTGCCAAGATTTTGGAGCTATTGGATAATATTTTATGGATTTATAAACTAAGTCATAGACTTTGTGGCCACTTTGAGTGCATAATTATATTTCAGGATGCCCTATGCTCTATAAGTATTCTTTTAAAGGAGACTATTATAACAATTACTATTTCAATTATGATTCTCTAGCATTTTGTTGATTAAGTTCTCATATCTGTAAAGTTATCTCCCTTTGACTACTGAGAGACCAACATTCCTTTTTTTTTTTTTTTTTTTTTTTTTTTAGCCATTCTGACTGGTGTGAAATGATATCTCCTTGTGGTTTTAATTTGCGTTTCTCTCATGAGTTACTACAAATTCAGTTGTTTTAAGCCACTAAATTTTAGGGTTTCCTCATCTACCAGAGACAATGAGAGCATACAGATCAACATTTTTTAAGCCGGGCATGGTGGCGCATGCCTGTATCCCAGCTACTCGGGGCTGAGACAGGAGGTCGCTCGAGCCAGGAGTTTGATGGTGCTGTGAGCTAGCTGACGCCACGCACTCACTCTAGCCTGGACAACAAAGCGAGACTCTGTCAAAAAAAAAAAAAAAAAAAAAAAAGGAATGTTGGTCTCTCAGTAGTCAAAGGGAGTAACTTTACAGATATGAGAACTTAATCAACAAAATGCTAGAAACATAATTGAAATAGTAATTGTTATAATAGTCTCCTTAAAAGAATACTTATAGAGCATAGGGCATCCTGAAATATAATTATGCACTCAAAGTGGCCACAAAGTCTATGACTTAGTTTATAAATCCATAAAATATTATCCAATAGCTCCAAAATCTTGGCAGATTTTAAACATTTCTATTCTATAGCAATACACAGAAAAGTGAAAGCGACTACTCCACCTCCTGCATTTCCCATAAAAACCATCCAATTTTCCTCCTATTATAGATGAGAAAACTAGAGCACTTAGGATTATGGTTTTTTTTTTTTTTGTGGATAGAGAGTCAGTCTTAGAATTTAGTTTTCTAATTTCCAAGCTAACAACTTTTCATCTGTACTGCCTCACCAAACACAAATAGGATATCTAACCTCAGTAAGATAAGAAAAAAAAATAAAATATTACAAACAGTATTTGTTTTGTCCTCAGAGTAGCTAAAGGACAAACAACTTCCTTAGTTAATGTCTCTCCCTTTCAAACCTGATAAATAGTTAACAATGAATATTCTTCAACTCAGGAGGTCTCGTGTCTGGTCCAAGATCTCGGTGTAAAGAAATCCTGTCACTTGCGAAAGCATTAAAACAGTGTTTTGTTTCCCCACGTTCTTTTTCCTTTTGTTCTTCAACACTTAAATTGGTTGTCTTGAATCCTTTACCAGAAGCACCAGGTGCATTAGAATCCTGAGGTGGGCGGTCAAGAACGGGTTTCAGTTCTGCTGCTGTATAATATCCTTGCAAACAGGGCCTCTCACCAGCATCAATGTTTCCCTGACAGGTGCTCCTATTTGCATTTTTGGCATTGCATCTTTAATATTGTTTACAGCTTCTAGCATTAAATCAAGCATCTTGTTTTTGTTTTTCATGTGTCTTTCCATCCTTGATTCCTCTTTGGAATATTGAATACTTACTTCTCTTTGCATTAAAATTAAAAATATTATAAAGAAAAAAATTACTGCACCAAGCTTCCAGAACTTTTTATGGTAATGTCTTTTAACATGTAATTTCAGTAGTCGCTTTAGGTGAGCCATTCTGACATTAAAAGCTTGTCACTTGACAAATAACTGTTATGATTTCCTCTGTTACTTATATTTTTATCATAGATTTGCTGGCAAGTAGATTTCTTTAAATGGTAATACCATTAAACAGAAATGATAGATGGTATTAGTAGGTATTCAATCCTACAGGCATGGTTCACTTCACTCATTCAACCAACAACTGAACGTAAGCTATAAACAATGTATTCTTATGTCAACAAAATGATATCAAGAAAATTATGCTTTTGGAAGAAAACAGTTGCTACAATTAACTACAATCTACTGGGGCTGTAAAATATTAGGGTTTCTCTCCAGTAAAAAATACATTCTTTATTAACTCTAATATTTACTATGTGATATGCTAAAATTTTCAAATTAAAAAAAGAGAGTATCAACTTGATTACGAAGGAATCAAAGGACTTCATTAAATGGATTGAAAAAAGGAGATCTATCT